CTACCGCTGACTACACCAATGAGTTTTCCCACCTTCACCCTTGGGGTGGCCTCGTCGAACCTCGTCCGCCGATACACAACCTGACGGAAGATATGCTCACGGCACAAATGCCAGCTCATGCTTTACCGGTTTCATTCCGCAGGACGGTTACTTTGCTAGCCGCTTCGTACGTTCATTGTTCCCTCGTCGGTTCGTCGGAACTCCTTCACCCACGAACAAGAATTTCGATCATGGAGATTCCCCGTCTGCCAGACATCATCGCGTTCCGGCAACACGCGATGGCATTGGCCGACGAGCTCCTGGATTACACGTACGTCAGCGACTACGAGGAAGTCATGCGTCTACCCCCCACCCCTATCCGCGTCCACCCTTCGCTACTATGCCCACCTAGCATGAAGGGTGTTCGTCCCGTCCTCTATCAAGTCGTTTCTCGGACGTACGGTCAAGGGCGTCATCCTCGAGGCGAAGGATTTTTTCATCCCTGGACCCGATCTACGGGAGCTGCACTGTATTCCACTCACACAAGAGTCCGTCAATCTCCTCTCCCAGACACGGGGATTTGATCGGGACATGGTCTCGGTGAAGGATTTCTTCTGGGTATACTCTTTACGACCCACCACCCGTGCCTTTGAAGCCGACGACCGGGAATATATCCTTCGTCAAGCTCGTCGTCCGCGCCCGACAGTTGTGGATTCTCCGGCACCATATTTTTTCCGGGTCCATGAGTTCATACCGGTGACGCCCGACCCCTCGCCGAAGAAAGTGCTTGGTATGGTGCTCTCGGTTACGCCGCGATCAGGAGTTTGTCAACAACTTCCACGCGGTTTTCGAGGGCTGTCACGAGGCACTGCGGATATCGCCGACCTTGTGCGACTTTTCCACTCACCGAAATCGAACGGGACATGCTCGTCTTAGCCGTGATTCGGACCAACGTCTCCACGGCCATGCGCTTCTGTCACTCCCCGATTTCCGTTGAGGCTCAACGGTTTCTTGTCAATACCGAGAATCCTGCCACTACGCGTTACTCATCTCACACCGGACGATCTTCAGTGGATTGACGACCGCGAACATGCCTTTGCTAACTACCCACGCGATCGTATTTCTGCACGGCTACGTATGTGCCAAATCCTCGCGCTTGTCAGCGCTGCTCAACGTCCGAGGACGGACGTTTTTGGGAAAGTTGGGGAGGTGTAAGCCTCGGGGCTGATCGGTAGTCGGAAACTTAGTTACTTAGCCGAACAGCGACGTTCGTTGAGCTTTATCATTGCAGGATTCGCCCACGTGCGCGCGGATATATAAGGATGCCGTGTGACTCATACGAGGTCTTCGCCGCCGCCACTCGCTCGACTGGATGAGGCCACCAGCCTGTGTATCGTCGCTGCCAGCATGTTTCTACTGTATTCTGACTTACCCCTCATTGGGGTTGCATCTAATAAAGATTAGTGGCTACTCTCGGTTGTACATGCGGATAGGAGGGGAAGGCCTGAGGAATGGAATCCTCGGGCCTATGACTCTACTTGTCCCCCGACAATCAGATCGAAAAATGGATAGTAGCGCACAACCATTGCTCGTCATAATGCCACACCTCGAGTAAGTGTATTTATGGGGCAGTACTATTACTACACAAACAATGAGAGCTGTGTTGAATCGCCAACACAAAGTCCTGCGATTTCAACTGTTCCGGTCAGTTGGAGATACTGTCCAACGGCAAACGTTTCAACGTTTTGTCACTCGCCGAAATTGACACAATTTACTCACGCTTGTTGAATAAACGGAGGTACCGGTGGTCCAAACGCTTTCGGGGAAGTGGGAGCGGAACTTTGACGAAGAGGGGATCTAATTAAATCCAAGCCAAAATATTACTTTTGTTCCTGATTTCCTTTTCGTTCGTGTAAATGAAGCCCTTCACATCTTTGAACTGGATTACCCAATAGATAAAAATGCCATAACATGCAAACTCCCAAAATATTGTGGAACATACGCTACAGGATTGCCTACACCAAAAAGAATGTTTTTATGTAGGGAAGCCGAAGGAGGCCCTTAGTCTGGATGTAAGAAGTAGAAGGAATAAAGCAGATAAAACACAAAAATTGAAGCCAGAACAGAAGATATATATATCATCGTGAGCTACAGCTGCGGAAAACATCAGAATAAGCCAAACCAAATCGGAATTCCCTATCTCTATCTCTAACTATTTCTTGATTTTCCCAAGCTTGAGTAATATAATATTGTGGATAGAGATCAAGTGTGCAAGGAAGAATTGTTAGCGCACAGTAAAAGCGAACAGCGAACATGAAATTACGTGAAATCTAGGTTCCAGCACCCAAGGCCAGCATCGAGTAATAGCCTTCAGCTCAACCCCACAGGCATCTTTGGTCTGGAGAACACCCCTGAAGCCCCTACATATAGAGCCAATTTCGAGCGAATGACGCTCTAATCAAATTCAGTAGTAAGCAAACCAAATTCAGAGCGCTGAATGGTTTTCTCATGTTGAATCCCTGCCATCTGGTTACCACTTCACTGTTTGTTGTTCAACAAAAGCTTCAGCACTGTTCAACAAGCATTCTGTGGCTTGTTCCAAATTTTTTTTTCTGCAGCTGTGCCTAAGCGCGTACTATTTGCGGGTATCCAACACCAGAAGTACATATTCGGAGCGTTCGCTCTGTACCCTTGTCTGCAGGCGGTAAAAGATGTGGCAAAATTGAAACTCAAGGATAAGGAGGATGCGCTACATGCAAGATTACTACGTGAGGATCTACATCGCGACCATCTATGGGAATATGTCTCATCGATAAGCCAGTGTATAATATGGTGAGGAACAACGAAACATTCAGCACAAGGCAACGTCAGTACAATCACAGACCATGGGTTAGCCTCCAATCACCCGCTAACAAAACTGTCGAAACTAAAGGGCTTGTTGGCTACTTGCAGTATAAGCTTATGTTTGAGCTTTTCGTAAGTCCGATTAAGTCTTTGTAACCTACCTTATCGAACGGATCTCCGAGTTCTCCTTCCCAGGAAGAGAGAAACCTGATGAAAACATAGTTTGTGATGATGCGAGGGTCAGTTGAGTGCAGCAGCTCGGAAACTCTAAAAATAGTCGGCATTGTAGCCAATCTCTGAGCAACTGTCCATACTCGGGTACAGCATTGTTGTGCGAAACCCGTCGAGGGGATGAGGCTGACACACTTGACCACTGGGGTCGTGAAGGAGCAACAATTAGCAAAAAAGTGCCATCGCTAAGTTTGATGGAGCGGACGGGAAGCTGCAGAGGACTTGAATGTAAGGATTACAAAGTATTGACGCTATTAAGTAGAAGTATTGATAGCAAGCATGAACTCGTGAGTATGCGGATTGAATTTCTAGTGCATCTCTAATCATTTCAAAGATTCGTGCGTATCCGCTTTTCCAAACTTTAAGCAAACATCGCCTCGCAAGGAAACAAGTCGCGAAACAGACGTTACACCTTTCCACAACCTCTGCGTAGAAGCGTACTGCGCGGCGCAAGCTCGAACCAAATCGGCCGATGATCACCCAATTATACCTTAACCAGTTTGGCTGACGCACACTACTGCGCGTCCGGCCGGGGTGCTGACTTCTGTGCTGACCACTAACACTTGGCTTGATTCCATGTCTCGAAGTACGGCCTACTGCACCATATTTCACCTTTTTAATGAACATTTGCCAATGTCTGATGCTTATCACGTTTCTAAAAACACCCACCATTTGATGGAAATAGGGCAACTTAGCGGTTGAAAGAAGTTCGGTGGTAACATTATCCAAGTCTTGGTGGAAGCTACTTATTTCCTAGCGTTTCCGTTGAGCAGCTTTCAGTCCGTCTGCTGGTGGCCCTTATCACTCCTCACTGACAAACATCTTTAAGCTTTTACTTTTGGAAGAATCTTTAGAGTTTAGCGGTTGAATCAATTTGGTCTATATAGCTCAAGGATAGAAAGTGCCTGGCTCAGATACTAACTCTAAGCCCTTGTCAGGAGCAGTATCACAACATGTCTCTTGCCACCAAAGTCTCCCACCATGTTCGCTAAAAACGTCTGAATCACTTGCTGGAGGGTAGTTCCCAGTGTTGCTACGACTCGTGTTGTTAAGGGCTGTTGTGTCCTATCAGCTGTTATAACGTCCTGCCACCCACCGATAAGGTTCCCATCCTGCCCCCTATCGTGGAAACGACACCTTACCGTCGCTGTGGCGCAATTTATAATGTTGATGAGCTTCCCTTTGTAAGGCCTCTTATGGTATCTTATCAGCTGTTATCACTGCCTGCCACCCACCAATAATGTTCCCATCCTGCCCCCTATCTCTCTACTTGGATCCAACGCCCGGCCGTTACTCTGGCCGGTGTTATGAGTTTGGTAACCCACTCTTTTTAAGGCTCCTCATGGTATCTTATCAGCGGTTATCACTTCCTGCCACCCACCAATAATGTTCCCATCCTGCCCCCTATGTTGCTACTTGGATCCAACGTCCGGTCGTTACTCTGGCCGACGCTATGAATTTGGTGACCCTCCCCTTCTAAGACCCCCTGTGGTATCTTATCAGCTCTTATCAGTTCCTGCCACCTACCAATAGTGTTCCTGCCCGACCCCCTACATCACTTATCAGTT